CGAACATTTAGCCCACTAACGATCCGAAAATCGGCCGATTTTATTTTCGGCCGAAAAATCAGCCGATTTTCGACCCATCTATGGCCTGCATTAGTCTCTATTTTATTTGCAGTTAAGATGGTGTTGTACATGTGATCAGTTAGGACACCAGCAAATTGATGGCTTGACAGTTTGGTGGGGATTACAGGCAACTGTGAAAGTTTTCATACACAGCATGCCTTGAATGTAAATGTTTTGGGAAACAGTTAGATAGATGGATTTGGTTCCACTATAATCAAATTAAGCTGTAAAGCGATACAAGATAACTTGGGCTTCCCACACCTATTTCTTCTAATTATCTGCAGACTTGTAAAGCTCTGTTACTCTGTCTGAGTTTTAATCATTTCAATCACTTGGTATTGACCCAGTTGGTGACAATTTTATTTTAAGCACAGGTGTGTGCTTAACACTTTTAATTAATATTAAAACAAACCATAAATACCGAGTTCATCCAGCATTTCTATCTGGATTATTATTTTTCTGCTTCCTACAAAAGATTTTCAAACTGCGTCTGACTTGTTTGTCGAATCCACTAAGTACAGTTCATGTCAGCACAATCTCTTTATCTTATAACTCAACTCTGTAATTAATTTTGCCAGGAATAATAATTTCCAGTGCAGCTGCTGAAATGAAACCCAGGGGAGTAATGCTTTATCATTTCCCATGAAAGGAAAACTTTCTTCGTAAGTCTTTTTTTATTTCATTTAAAAGCAAAAAAATATACTTCTGTATGATAATTAAGAGAACTATAATTATCATCTGAAATTTTATGTAGTGTAACGTTACATCTAATTGAACACGGCTATGTATTTCAACATCTATCTATATGAATATAAAACAAAATATTAAAAGATAATTCCAAGATAAGATTGGTTGAAGCAGTTTGAGTGTATTGTATGATTTAACCTTTCCATCCCCACCCAGTTCCACCAACTGAATCATTTAAAGCTAAACTCCAATAAAGCAGATAAATACGCAGATGAAATATATACAGTTTCAGTGTAAACTGGAAATCCCTTCAAAGTGAATGAAAATGTTTAATGAAAATATTTCCTTCTAAATTGTAAATGTCTTACAAAATACACTGCTCAAAAAAAAATTAAAGGGACACTTCTTAATCAGAGTATAGCAGCAAGTCAATGAAACTCCTGGGATATTGATCTGGTCAGTTAAGTATCAGAGGGGGTTGTTAATTAGTTTCAGCTTCTCTGGTGTTAATGAAATAACAACAGGTGCACTAGATGGGCAGCAGTGAGATGACCCCCAAAACAGGAATGGTTTTACAGATGGAGGCCACTGATATTTTTCCCTACTCATCTTTTCTGTTTTTCACTAGTTTTGCATTTGGCTAGAGTCAGTGTCACTACTGGTAGCATAAGGCGATTCCTGGACTCTACAGAGGTTGCACAGACCGTCCAACTCCTCCAGGATGGCACATCAATACGTGCCATTGCCAGAAGGTTTGCTGTGTCAGCCAGCACAGTCTCAAGAGCATGGAGGAGATTCCAGGAGACAGGCAGTTACTCTAGGAGAGCTGGACAGGGCTGTAGAAGGTCCTTAACCCATCAGCAGGACCGGTATCTGCTCCTCTGTGCAAGAAAGAACAGGTTGAGCACTGCCAGAGCCCTACAAAATGAGGAGGCATATACATAGAGGGACTCACAGACCTCTATAGGCTAGAAAATGGCACCCTGACTGCCATTAGGTATCGGGATGAAATCCTTGGACCCATTGTCAGACCCTACGCTGGTGCAGTGGGTCCTGGGTTCCTCTTGGTGCATGACAATGCCTGGCCTCATGTGGTGAGAGTATGCAGGCAGTTCCTGGAGGATAAAGGAATTGATACCATTGAATGGCCCCCACACTTTCCTGACCTAAATCCAATAGAACACCTCTGGGATGTCATGTTTTGGTCCATCCGATGCCGCCTGGTTGTGCGTCAGACTGTCCAGGAGCTCAGTGATGCCCTGGTCCAGATCTGGGAGGAAATACCCCAGGACACCATCCGTCATCTTATTAGGAGCATGCCCCGATGTTGTCAGGCATGCATACAAGCACATGGGGGCCATATAAACTACTGAGTACCATTCTGAGTTGCTGCAATGAAATGTCAGCAAACTGGACTAGCCTGCTGCATAATTTTTTCACTTTGATTTTCGAGGTGTCTTTGAATTCAGCCCTCTGTAGGATAATAATTTTCATTTCCATCGATGGGGCATTCTTACATTCCTAACACATTACCCCGTCCATATCAGTATACATATCCTGCATGATATTTTTCCCCATTGAGATCTGATGTGTTTTCAAAGTATTCCTTTAATTTTTTTGAGCAGTGTATATATTTTTACATTTATTTATATAAATATGTAACTAATCCAGTAGCTTTGGGCTCATTTCACATGTTCATCAGGCTAATCTTTTTTGCTTTGCTGAAAAAAGTTTCTTTACACTGAGTTCAATAACTCAAGCTCAAATTTAAACACATGAGGAGAGATTCATCCTCCTGATGTTCCCTGCTCCTGTCTGCTTCCTCAGACAGAGCTGTGCAGAATTTTAATTGGAGAGAGCTAGTCTGAAGGCAAACGGCATTTGCTGTGCTCTCTTTTTAGAAAACCCATGCTTTGTGACACAGGGTTATGGGTACAGCCTATATTAAATGTACTGTATATTTTTATAGTAATAGTGAAAAAAATGAGGTAAAATATGTAGAAACTTTCAAAAACAAAGTAAAATTGACTATTCAGATAGAGCAAAAAGCAGTATGCAAAATTCAGAAACTGATAGCAAATAGTCAATTTGTTATTATTCTTCCTACTCTAAGGTGATAAAAGTAGCAATACAATTATACTATTTTTTTCTTTTTGTGAAAGGGAGACCCTCTGTTAATGATCATCCTGTGTATTCCTGCAAAGGGGTGCCCCCTACTTACATAGGTGGGTTCACTACTTAATAAGCCACAGCCCTAGAAAAAGCATGCAGACAGTGAAATTTAAACGGTCTTCACCTTTTTCAGGTCATCAGTTCACTAAATAGTGAAGGCGGAATGTGGAGACAGTCCCTGATATTCCACCTATAAAACACAAGTTGGCAAAATCCCATATTTCCTTTTATTATTATTATACAGGATTTATATAGCGCCGACAGTTTGATCAGCACTTTACAATATAACGGGAGACAATACAGCAACATTACAGTTCAATACAAGAGGGTTAGGAGGGCCAGGGGCGGACTGACTATTTGGAAACTCGGGCACTACCGAGGGCCTGGGGTCAGTAGGGGGCCCCACGAGATACCCCTGGTACCTTTTTTATAGGCTTTTTTGAGTTTGGGCAAGGACACAGGGGCCCAATGATCCCCTATTGCCTGGGGGCCCCATGAGATGTCAGTCCGCCCCTGAGGAGAGAACCCTGCTTTTTGGAGCTTACAATCTAAGCTTTTAAACCACTTTGCCTCTCACACCTGTTCACCCCCTATGGACCAGAGCAATTTTTACATTTTTGTTTATTCTATTCAGGGATAACATTGTTATTACCTAACGCCAAACCACACTGCATCTGAGCTCCACAAACCAAAAAATGCTATTTAATTCATATTTAATATTCAAAGCAAACTCCCCCATCCATCCCTGTCTCCATGCTTTATTGTGCTGACAAATCATTTTGAAAAATACCCCCTAGCATTTCTGGTCACGGCCATCTTGAGTAAGGGCAAATGATTCATGTATTATTTACTTCCTGGAATCCATCTGCCCTTAACTCATGCATAGGCTAAGCTGAGAACCCTGCCCTCCTGAAGACTGTTGGGATGTATGACATCATTTGCTTACATGGAAACCAGGAAGTAACTGCAGAAATGTAAAAAAAAGTTTAAAACAAGTAAATATATCATACGCCCTTATCTATTCCCTAATCCTAGCAGCATAAGGATTTAAACTAGTCTGATTGAGAAAGTGAAGTTCCGCTTCAATATAAAAATATAATACATGTTGATTTTGTTAAGGACAAACAAGGCTTTCTTTTCTTGAATATTGTCTTGCAGCAATGACTTTTTTCCTTGCAATCCTTAATAACAAAACGTAACAAAGTGCATTTTTTCTTTTTTTGAGCAGTGCTAGTTTATAAATTGTGTTACTGCACATAAATGCCTTTGTCCTGTTTAACATGACACTAAAATTATGATTCTCGCAGGGGCGGACTGACCATTTGGAAACTCGGGCGCTGCCCGTGGGCCCGGGGTCAGTAGGGGGCCCCATGAGATGCCCCTGGTACCTTTATCATAGACTATTTTGAGTTTGGGCAAGGACACAGGGGCCCCATGATCCCCTATTTTGTAACTATATGTAAAAATGTTAATGAACAAAACAAACAAAAACAAAAAAAAGTTTAAATGTTATTAGTTAACCTCCCTAGCGGTATGATTATTTCAGATTTTTGGTGCTGAGGTATGTAGTTTTTTTGTCAGTAATAGCGCGGTGTGCATGGCAATATAAAACATGATGATTATTTCCATATTTCTGTGCTGAAAGCGGTACGATTATTTTGCATGGAAATATGTAGTTTTTTTTATTGTAGGCTGTAATATTTAGGAATAACTCACTGAAATCTGTCCGAACAAGAGTCTATTAAACATCCCGGGTATGATAAAATTTGAAACACAAAATCATAAATTATAATTTAATAAATAATCATAAAAAATAACAATATAATAATAATACATTTAATTCAATAATTTAATCAAACCAAAAACACTGAAATTTGAAATATAGCGCCAAGTTCGCACATCACTGAGCAAAGTCGCAAAATTGTTTTCAGTGTCTGATGACGAATTTCTCTATGAATCATTATCACTCAATTCTGCAAGTGGTTCTGATTTACTATCGCTGTTCTCTAGCCGGTCTAAACCCGCTTTTGACCTAAAGGGACGCTTTTTGGACGCCATGGACTTTTCTAAGTTTCCAGGCAGAAAGAACAGTCAAAATGCAGACAGGGCGCCGGACAAAGCACTCGGGACAAAATGTATGTGAAATGGTTTGAAACAACAATGTTTTACTATGTGAAATTTGTTTTGAAAAAAATGACATTTTTTCTAAATTTTCAAATTTCCCGCCGCCGCCGGCGGCGCCCGTACGTCCGAACGTCACAGGGACAGGAACACAGAAGCCGGATGCCGGCATCGGCCGGAGGAGATGGCCGGGGACACTGCAGGGGACACATCGCGGGAGCGAAGGACAAGGTAAGCTCTGCAGGGACTCCCTATGCAGCGCCGCATGGTAAGCCCGAGTGTAGCTCGTGGTTACCGCTTTTGGTACTGAAACTTTACCCCGAGCTATACTCGGGAATACCGCCAGGGAGGTTAATAAAATAGAAACAAAAAAAAAAATAAGCAGGAATTTTATTATATAGAGAAAGAGAATAAGGAGTTAATTAGGGCTGATTACAGTAAACTAAGGGTTAATAAGGGGTTAAACAGAGGAACATTTAATTTAAAATTAAAAAAAAAAGTCAGGTTGCTTTAAAGCAGTAGTAAACCACAGGAAAAAGAAATCCCCTGCAAGGTAATGTCATAATGTGCTAGTATGCATCGGCTGGGGCCCAGTGATTAACATCTCTAGCCGCCAATAGCAGCCCAGCATGCCCCCTACCCAGGAATGCTAATTATATATATATATATATATATATATATATATATATATATATATATATGATTGTGCGCAGCCCTGCTGCCCTGTAGCATTACTTCTGCTATAGGGCAGAGGGCAGCTGGTTAATGAGAGCTGAATTGCTGTGTGCTGGGACAGGGAAGGTCCTGGCAGCAGGGCAGAAGGACTGGACATGTTACGCACACTCTGTGTACAATGATGACAATTTGTTGGACGCTTGTGACATGCCAAGAGTCTTCAACCGGTTAAAGTGCTGTTTAACTAATGGGTCTATTTATAGAAAAAAAATTGCCATGCCATTGTCACAGCATTTGCACATCCATAAGGCTTTATCCCCATAATGTGTCCAATATGTTACCACAAGCTGGAAAACACTACATAGACCTCCCCAACTGGGGTACAGACAGCAAGACAAATGGACAAAAGTTCTGTCTTCTCACCAGTCTATACAAAAAACTAAAAAATAGAAAAAAAAAAAGGTTTGGTGTTTTTGCTTTAGATGCACTTTAAAGAAGTCAAGCCTCTTATCTCAAACATGCAATAGGTCTTATCTGAAGAGGATTTCTTAGAAAAATATAAATCCTCTATTTAGCTGAAACCTATGTCCTATAGTAAATGGAAAACCACAGATGCAGATATTTGGAGATACATTTGGGCAGAAATTGCATACTATTTTCTAGGCACATATCACTATGTCGTATCTAGATATCTCAAGGATATGGATGTCTGTCAAGTCTGAATATGAATTTATGAAGTTAGAACATAATAACCGGGGAAAGGACTGAGAACACCGAGATAAGCGTTACAAAACACATCATGAATATTCCAGTGTGTATTGGATTTCTTATTGGATTTATTTGGTTCTTTTTTTTTTTCTTGCGTTTCATTGTAGGATACAGTGTTGTGAAATGATTTGGGGCTTTAAAAATTCAGAACAATAGTAAGCATTTTAAATGATTTAAATAGAAGTGACAGTTGACAGGGAAAATACATTTTATGTTGAGTTGTAGCAAGTACAACTTAGCAAGGGTGAGGCCCAAGAACTGGCTTTTCTTTATGTGAACCTCTGCTTTGCTTGTGAAGGACAAAGCAACAGGATAACTTGAAGTAGAAGTCCCGTCCAGGGGTGGACTGACCATTTGGAAACTCGGGCACTGCCCGAGGGCCCGGGGTCAGTAGGGGGCCCCATGAGATGCCCCTGGTACCTTTTTCATAGGCTTTTTTTGAGTTTGGGCAAGGACACAGGGGCCCCATGATCCCCTAATGCCCGGGGGCCCCATGAGTTGTCAGTCCATCCCAGGTCCCGTCAAATCCTAACTATACCTAAACCTATCCCACCCTCATTCTAAACCTATTCTAACTACCCTGTAAAGGAAAGATGTTTATACAGGCGGACCTCGGTTTACAAACACCTCAGTTAATGTAATTTTCAGTTTACAAATGAAAATCCATTGAAAATAATGGCTCGGCTTACAAATTGTTTTCACAATACGAACGGATTAATTGGTTTTCAATGCATTTATGATTTTTTTAATCATGTCCCTGTACAGTATTTATGCCTTTAAAGTGCACTTTATAAAGAGTTTTGAACAGATAAGACTTTTTTTTTACTTTTTTCTGACCTCCAGAACGGATTAATTGGTTTTCAGTGCATTTATGAATTCATTTTTAATCATGCTCCTGTTCAGTATGTATGCCTTTAAAGTGCACTTTGTAAAGAGTTTTGAACAGATAAAATACTTTTTTTTTACTTTTTTCTGAGATCCGGAACAGATTAATTGGTTTTCAGACCATTCCTATAGGAAACCGCATTTCAGTTTATGAATTTTTCACAATACGAAAATTCACGCAGAGCTCATTAAATTCGTAAACCGAGGTACGCCTGTACTCACCTATTCTGAAGGGGCTCCAGTCTGGTCACATAATCTCTTCAGTGGACAGCTTCAGTGAAGAGGAGGGATCTCTGACAACAGCTGCAGAGCCTGCGTGATGACATCACCCATAGAAGGGGCTTAGAATGGGGGTGAGAGCGGGTTTAAGTATAGTTAGGATCTGATTGCACTTCCACTGCCGCCGATCTTTTTCCTGTTTTCCTGATACTGACTTACTATGCTTTGTTCTGCACTGTATCTCTGTGTGGAGGTGACCATCTTGGTAGAGATAGGTTTTTGCTTCCTCATCTCAGCGCCTCCAGCAAGAACATTGGTGTGCAAAGCCTATAGAATTAGGGTGTGCACACCAAAGCTCAAACGCACATGCATATGTGTGTATGTGTATACAGTATATATAAATACAATTTTCCTTGAGGCGCTATGCACTGCCGGCACATTATCTCCATGCCTGCAGATTCAGAACAAGAGAAAAATGCTTCCACACTTCTCTTATAAGCAGAGTCACTCAGTGGGAGACCTTTCCCATCTCCCCATTGGCACACGCAGCCATACTGCTAATGTGAACGGGGTGATTAGGGTGTGCCAAGGCACAACCTGCACATCCTGTACGCATGCCTATGAGCAAGGAGAGCAGTGAGCAGCACAGTAGTGATGTCACCAAGCCTCACTCCTAATTTGGTGAGACTAGCAGTCAGAGGTAGAAGTACCTTAAATCTCATACTGCATATATACAGCTTTGAGGTTGTAGACACAGGAGTGCAGAGGCACACTCACATACCAGGAAACACACTGCTATTTTTTAGGAGGAATTCCAGATAGAAAGGTTCTAAGGTCTAAGATGTGGTGGTCCACGATGGTCTGAAGGGTTTGGTCCTAAAGGATGGGCCAGTGGTCTCTGGTGCAGCTCTGGGTGTCCTCTGGAAAAGAAAAAAGGGAGGTGAGAGAGCCCTTAAATTATTCACCAAAAAGAAAATGGGAAAATAACTTACAGACGTTAGGACTGTAACTTTCCAAATGCCCAGACGGAGAAAAATCTCCACGCAGAATAAAGTTGGTTGTTCTTGATGCCATGGGTATCCCAATTCTGGGTCCTCTGCTGGGTTCTCACATGTGTGTGTATGAAATCAGAGAGTTCAAAAGGGGTCCTAAAAAAAGCCTGGCGATGGTCCGATTGGCAGAGGTGCCCGTTGTCATATGTCTAAGGATAAACATTTTTTCTTCATAATTGGTATGCATGATCCATCAGCACCATGTCACAAAAATTACAAATCCCAACAAAATAGAAAAGCGTGTGGGACTTCTAAGCTGCTAGTGTACCTTCAGGATAGGACACTTAAGACACTTCAAATATATACACCTTCCTTTTTGCATAGTAACCAGTCATGATCAACGGGTCACCAAAATACATTGTTGAAAGTTAGGAAGGTGATATGGTGATAAAAATCATCTATGTTGATCCCCTGGAGAGAGTTTATTGGCAGGAAATACAGAAAGCTGGCGAGGTTGCCGGAGCTTGATCTTTTATCCTCTTTTTGAGTGTGAATCATTTCCTTGAGACCCAGAGTATTTCATTCACTGCAGATGGACATCTGTGACTCGGGAACCTCCCTCTCCTCAGGCTGTTCATTGGATTTGGGTGTGCCTTGGTCCGGGCATTTCCTTATGGCATTCAGCCCTATGCATTTCTCCTCTCTCTCTCTTGGGATCGATTTTTGATCTGAATAACCATCAGTATGGTGGTTTCCTCTTCTCTGAACCCCTGAAGCCAACTCAGCAAAACACATTGGGACTTATCACCATATTACCTTCCTAACTTGCTACAATGTATTTTGGTGACCCTTTGCTCATGACTGGTTACTATAGGGAAGAGGGAAGGTGTAAAGTGGGATTCACTGTATTGAAGGGTTTATGCCCTTACCTGTTTTTATGGAAGGGTTTATATGTTTAATGTTGTACTATTTGCAATAAAATTCTATATTTTGTATATTTGAAGTGTCTTAAGTGTCCTATCCTAAGGGTACACTAGCACCTTAAAAGTCCCACATGCTTTTCTATTTTGTTGGGATATCTCTAAGGATAGCTCAGCGTCATCTGGTTTAAAGAACATCAAATTTATTTATTTCACCAAAAAACTAATTTCTACACATCCAACTTGCATTCTTTGAATCTCTTTTAAACTCACATATAAAAAGTTACATCTTCAAAGGTACTGCATAGGCATAATAAAAATGTCTCAATGTTCCCTATAACATAGCAAAGCTTAATTTGTTTGAGTTCAGGTCCACTTTAACTGCCACCCTCCTCAGCTTTACATGGTATCTCTCCCCCCCCCCCCTCCATCACTCTGTGTGGCCACTGGGAATGAAAAGACATACCTAGTAATTCTGTGAATGGGGAGCATGTGACTCACTACCTGTCTACCCATATGACAGTGCTGGTGCTTGGCCACTGACCACTTGGGCACCCATGGCTGTCACTTGGGAACAAGAAGATCTTCAACCCTGTGTACACACCAAGTCACAGGCAAGGTAGCAGTTAAGTGAACCTGTTGCTTTGCACTGCACTTGCAAGAAAGGTCATTACGACTCTGTACTGAAAGTGATGCAAAACTGGACATGGCTATTTTTATTATCTTACGAAGGTCATTCAAATTTCACATGTTGGTAAAATAACTCTTCTTCTATAGTAACTCTTCATCTTTTTCATTGAAGGTAATAAATGGATTCCAATGTACCATCATTGAGGTCCTGACAAAGATGA